CAGTGGCACTCTCCGACATAGCCGACTGGCCAAGAATCGAAGCCGTTGCTGAGTTTAGACTATGTACCGGACACGATTGCCTGGCAAAACACCTTCACAGATTGGGAGTATACACTCAACCCACATGCCCCCTATGTAACCTACAGGAGGAAATGGAGAAGACCCACCTGATTCGGTGTCCAGCCCAAAAGACAACGACGGAAACCCAGAGATTCAGGGAAGCAAGAAGACAGCTAATGAACTGTTATTAATTAATTGCTATATATGTACCGCCACCCATGGGGGAAGCTGAAGTCAAAGTTTAAGGGCTAATGATAAATATCATAAAGCCTGCCATTTGAAATAATAATAATATATATGGTACCTCCCACATCGCTTGCATGAGAGTAAGAACTAAGGTCATCATCGCAACATGGCCGATTCTTCCCAATCTCTGTATTCACTATTTCCAAATCAACTGCAGCCTGGCAATATCTAGTGGATGTACCAAGATTATAGCTGTAAAAGTTAAAACTTTTAACAATTTTGACGATTACACAATAAAACAAGAAATAGCCTTTTATTCAACAGACTTGACCGTGACAACGCTTTTATAGACATGACATTGGTAGTCAATAATGATGATACGGTGGTTTCCAATTAGTTCCCCACTGATGGTTTGGAATTGGCAGTGATTGTGATGATGATGGTATCCGAGATAGAGGAGGGTTTCTAGACATGTATGGTACTCGCTGCGATGGCAGATGATTCACCGGCGGTAGTGAGTAATAATACCGTGGAGGGGGAGCACGATTATTGATAGGAATAAGAGGAGGCGGACCACCACCAAAACGGTCATAGAATTCCCTCTGACGGTCAAAGGCAGGAGATTCCTCAGGGGTCTGAGATGTGAATGGATAGGCTCTCTTTGTTCCACGATTTACATGATGAGGAACAGGGGGATCCATTTGTTGTGATGAGCAGTATGTACTCAAATGAAAACTATCTCTCATTGGTGGTTCTCTTCTAGAGGAATCTTCTCCGCTGCTTCTATCAAGGGGACCCCCTTCACGAAGATTGGCTTGAGATTCCTTGGCGACAATTGCTGTCTCTTCTTCTTGTCGCCATTTTGGCCTCTGCATGTGAATCCCAGCTGTAGGTGGTAGGGTTCGATAGATTTGTGGATGTACATCATCATTGTCAAAGTGGCATTCATCCTGATGCAACTGGGCAGTTGGGAGAGCACTACGACTGCAGAGAGCCTTTGTGAGTTCAATCAAGGCGGCATCAGATTCGCTTGGAGATTGTAGACACGAGGGTTCCAAGCAAACCTTTACCAGCAGAGCATCTAGCGCGGGACGAAGAGCAAAAATTCTCGCCGCAGTGCTGTAGCGAATTCTTATAGGGAGCCAGTCGTCAATCATGACAATGCCCTCGTCCGAATCCGTAGTATTCTGCGGTGTGCTCAACCAGATCCCTCGTCGACACCCAAACAGAAGAAGATGGATAGGTGATATCATCGTCAACGACTTACAGTTAATGGTCTGGGTTCGAATCTTTTCAGTGAAGGTGAAAAATGGGAAAGTGGGTTTGGTGTCCTTTACACAGTTCACCGAACCCTTGTGAATTAGGGCGAATTTCCCCTCGGCAGTAAGTAGTTTTCGAGCATCTACATGATAGGCTATATTGGGATAAAGACCATTTGTGAGCATTGCGGCAATAAAATCGAATTTGCGCGAATCGCCATCGTGGAACTTAATGGGAGGAGTGAAGAGTACGGACTCGGGGAAGTTCAGACTCAAGAGGATATTCCTAATCTACAAATTAAATTAGAAATGTTAGAATTCTAATAGTTACACGAAAGTGAGTCCAATATGGAACCAATACGAAAAAGCTGCTACTAATAAAGAAGCTTTAGCTACCAAAAAAATGTCATTTTAAAAAAAAACATTTTTATTCACGATGACTTGAATTTAAAAGTTGTTTAAGGCTTTTGGATTATGGGTGGACAGCAACCGAAAGGAAACGAACTTTACCAAAAATGATATGTTACAACAGCCTACAGGAACCGGACATTAGATAGAATGCCGAGAGACTTTGTCGGAGTGTAAAAGCAAAACAAGACAACAATCTCCCTGAGATGAATTTGATTAAAAAATATATAAACCCAAAGAGATAATGAAATTAGAGGGCCTTGAATTCTACTCAGTAGAATAGAGGAAAATCGTACAAAGTGGAAATTCATGCGGAGGAGGGTAAGGTAAGAGGGGAATATGAAATGCTTAGTTTGAGGGCAGTCAAAAAACGTTAACCTCAGAAGTTCTTCGAGGGTAATTGACCTTCACAATGTACAAATTCACAAAATATTACATGAGTGAGTAAAAACATGATCTCTTTAGGGTCTATCCTACGTGGTATCCAGTGTGCTATAAAACTGTAAATAGAATGGTAACACGATTAAATAACATACCTGACTAGCAGCATCATCTATCATCTTGAATGAGAACTCGTTCAATTCTCGATCTTCGCAGAAAAATGCCGCTTCCTCCTCACCTTTGCTGAACCGTATAGAAGCCCACAACTGGAAGGCATTCAACATTGCCAGGTGATCTGAATGAGTAGATGCTGAAAATCGCACTTGTTTCCAGGAAAGGCGTTTATGACTCGGCTGCATAACAAAGACCTCACTGTCAAAGGATGCCTGAGTGGCAATAACTGACATTGCGCCTCCCAAGTCGAATGCACAGGAGAAGACGAGCATGCGTCCAAGGCGAGGTTCCATAGGAAGCCTGGCGAGAATCATACCCAGCGGGGTCAACTCATCATTAGTATCTAGGGCTTTCATCTCTCGGAGGTTGTGTTCAGCTTCAATCACCGCATCCATGGGTGGGGAGATCATCGCCTTGCGCAGGAACTCCTGAATATCCCCAAGTCGAAGAAGTTTAATCATGAGAGCAAGTTCGTGGAGGGGTGTTCTCAAGATCTCTGGAGTTATGTGAGGTTCAAGACGATCAAAGCGAGCTCGACTGCATAGGTGAAAAGCGAAACCTTCTCTTACACGACCCGCCCGACCTCTACGTTGCTCGAGATTAGTTCTGCTGGCCCATACTGTGGAAAAACTCGTCATATTGTTTCGAACTGTGAACATCTTAACTCGTGCCAGACAGGAATCAATTACAAACACCACATCGTTAATCGTGACCGAGGATTCTGATATATTCGTAGAAAGGACAATCTAGAAAGTTAGATAAAGTTCACTGAAATAGGGGATTTAAATGGAATATATGAGAATGGAAGCAGACATTCACCTTTCTGGCTCCTCGAGGAGCAGGTCTGAAAACAAGTTTTTGATCCTCCCGAGGAACTTGGGAGTGAAGGGGGAGGATAAGAAAATCACGGGACTTTCCAAAACGAGGATGACTCTCGAGGTACTTTCGTAGTAGACTGATTGTATTCCAACCGGGTAGGAAGATCAACACTGCTCCATCAATCCTCAAGTCGCAAATATACCTAAATATAAGGAGAAAAGATAGATCCAAAAGTGGATGTATTCCTCAGATTAGAGATGTTATCAAAGCCATCAAAGTGGCTATCGAAATGTACCCAAATCAATAGCCAAAAGAATCTTATTTGTTCCAGTTGAGAGTAGGAATAAACATTTTTTTGCTATATTTATGCTGGTAACAGAGTGTAAACCAGTGGTCTCGTAGGTCACATGCTCACTGGTGCACAGCCGGTGAAGCGAATAACTACCCGCGCTGGCTATTAGTGCCAACGAGAGATTATCGAATGCGATTTTCGCGATAGACACTCCAAGACACCTATCATCTACTCAAGAAAAGTGACATTTCAACTCCATATTGTGAAACAAGACGTTTTATGCATGATAAAAATGACACAATACGATAGAGTTCATTATATATCATTCGGAGCATTTCTGAACATTAGAACCCCTAAACGAAATCAAATAACTTTTCTACTTCAATTTAGAGCAACGAGAGATAAACTTTTCAAGAGTTGAATTCTCAAAATTCGGCTTATTCTTAATCATTGGTATTGATCGACGAGAGCTTTGAGTGATACTACTTGTGTAATATCGGGAAACGGTCCTAACCACCATATAACGACATGACGTAAAGAAGTGGTTAATTAAAAGTGAACAACTTTGACCAGCTGGTTATTTCGCTGGCACTAGCTGGCTGATGTAGTGTCGTTATTTCTAGTCTCAGTTGAATTGCTACAACAATCCCCTCACAAATTTTTATCTACTCTTATTACTTTTATTTCTCACTTCTTTGCTTGTAGGCTGCTTTTACTATCATTTAATGCCGATGCTTTGATCACCACTCTGGCACTTTTTCTTATCCCTCACCAGACAGGCGTTTCCCTTTGTTCTCTCCTGTCTCTGTCGCCTTTCTATTCTGCCATTGGTTGGTAAGGCCTGTGAGTTAATTGGTTTCCTCTATCCCACAGAGTGAACTCCCCCCCCCCTCCCTCTCTATCGCCCTCTAAACTACACCAGCAAAAGATTGCACTAACTAGCCTTCAGAAGTTAAAAAGTCCTTTGAAAAAAACAATTGCATTTGAGTGCAATTCTCTATTCGTGCTTACTATGACGCCATTAGCACCTCGATTCTGGACATACTAACGCCCTGGTGTTGGCAATTGCACTCCACATATTTGTAAATCACACATATTAACTAAATGTGAACAACATAAATCTGGCCTCTTTAAGGCATTTTGTGTTAATCCAATAGCAAATGTTCAATAAGCCCTTGTACAATTTCAATCATAGTTCTTCAAAAAACTACCTAGTTAAGTTGGTTTCCAGTTTAATTAGCTTCCTCTTACCTCGCTATTTTTAGCTTGAAACTGCCGGCAAAACTGTTTAAGGAGAATAAAAATTGACAGGTTTTAATGAGCTCAATTGCGCAAGTGAGAGAGAGATGGATTTATCGGGATAACGTGACAAAACACTCTGCAATCACGTGGTCAATTAAATTTGATAGATGGATCGAAAAGGCAAAATCACTAAATCTGCGTTTCGGACCAATACAACATGACACAATGAGCTAGTAGAACTCGATAAAACGTAAACAACTTAAGGAATTTCGGATAACAATGGAGTAAGACCTTCTCGAATTCCAGATCTCATTATCTGTCACACTCAGCTTTCCTGTCTCTATGAGCTCTTGTAGTTTCCAGATACCGGATAATTCTTCATGAGTAAAAATCGTCCACCTTTCATTGACTTAACTTGAGCAGTAAATGGTATTAGTATTAGTAATACTAGGGGTGTTGATAAGTTTATAACGAAGCGTATGACGTCCATGACATGCAAAGAGCGAAATCAGCGGATTCCCCTAGGAAATTCCACCACGGTCAAGACTCGACGATGAAGACGTTGTCTCAGAGATTTGTGAAAACATACACAAAATCATGACTAAGGCACGACAATAAAAACTTTAGATAGACCGGTCTGCAGTACCCAAAAGCCAATTTTGATCTCTAAAAACACCAAGAAGAAGTTGCATGCGAACGTCCACAGAACAATAGCAGTACTCTTAAACTATCGGCGGAAGCACCAGCCTTTATGCCAGAACGCCATTCTCGATGTTGAGAAGAGATTCGATGCTATTTTCTCCAAGAGAATGTTTCAAAATAGAGTCAGAATATATTTTCAATTCCCTATTTCGTAGACACCGTTATGCACAGGCTTGTCCGAACAATCTAATGCTAGTAATTTTAAATAATCGGGTATGCATAACAACACAAAACCACTTACTCAAGTAGGCGCCCAACCAGTGGAAAAGATATCTCTTTCTCGGGAAGTTGACGCATCACTTCAAGCACAGAGGGTGGGTAATTGGAAGAACAGATGAGGTTGCAATTTTCATCATCCGCATCGACATTTATGATCGAATCCTTATCCTCCAGAGATGCTTTCTTTCCACCTCGCTTCTCTGAGTCAGCTACTTTGGGTAGTGGTACAAAATCTGTCATTTGAATGCAGTCCTCAAGGAAGTAGCCTAAATGGTAATGGGATAGATTATTCATCAATTTGCCCTCTTTTTTAAATCCGCCCTAGTAACTAAACGGATTTTACCTAGCACACCGGTCCATGCTACATAATTAATTAATTTTGCTAAAAAGAGAAGAAGACATAGAGCCAAGATTAGTTGATATCCAGAAGCCCACGATTTGAAACCCTGTACGAAAGAGCCTTCCAATGGGATGAAACTGGTGGTCCGGTGTCTGGTGATGCATATCAAGTGAGTGGAATGTTCGGCAACACTGGGTGTATGACTAGCAATAAAAAGGGAGTGTATGAAGTCGAGTCCCCCAATGAAAGGCTCAATGACGTTACTACTCTTAATCCTGATTAAATATTGGAAGATAGTTACCTAAATATACTTTTAGTATTATAGAAAGTATCTATATTAACAGCATAATCATAAAAGGAGGATGTACTCAGAAGAGAGGTATTCGATTCAAGATTGGAAGTCAAAACAACGGCCCATTTGTATTCCTTTTTAACCTAACACCAGCGCTGTTCTATCATGGTGTATTTGTGAAAGCGTTTCTATTTCCTTGGGAGTTGTATTTTCAAGCTATCCAAACAAAAAGTTTGCCTTATACTTAACTTGAATTTATGAGCGAACATTGCCAGAAGAGCAATTCTAGGTTCCTATAGATTCAGGATAATGGAGACGAAGGAAGTCAAATATACTTTGGATAGGTAACTAAAAGTTTGTGCATGAAGGTCGGCGGCATTTTCAATTTCACACACAGAGGTTTTGACACCAACATCAACAAGTATCGTATGCTGTCATAAGAGGCAGAAATGGTACATTCATGTGAATTTTTTTGAGTATTCACCTCAAAGGCCATTTTTAAGGACTACAGCCAGATAAGACAGGATATGGCATAGACGGATATCGATCAAATAAATAATCAATAATGTCTTCCACAGCTTTCTTCCTTTGCGACTTGAACAGTACCTGCTTAATAGTTTTAGCAAGCCGTTGTTGCACAAGACTGAATTCCGGTGGAGTAAAAACAGAAGCCAAGGTGACCATCAAAAAAAGAAAACTGGGTGTCATTTGCGAAGAGGACCACTTTAGGTAACTAATTAGTAACGAATAATAGGCAGAAGCGGATGGAGAGAGAGAAAGGATGCCTTGGGGAGTTTGAGCAAAAAGTGAACTTTTTGAGACCAATGAATTTGAATTTGACAACACATAACTGTAAGTGAATGAGAAGTGAATAAGCCATTCGGTTAACTTGAATTTTGAGTAACACAAAGCAGCTTTAGCAAAGAAGAAACGAGAAATGAAACCATTAATTGTTGGCCTACTAAATTGGACTTTAATTAGCAGTTTATACGCACAAACGGGGGTGTGAGATAGACTTACCTCCACGTAGTGCACCCTGAGCAACGTATATTCATACGGCGAAAATGTCTATTAACTGGCAGTTGACTTCTCCCTTCAAACCACCATCACCTCACTCTATGCCATATTCGACTATTTCACCGAACTCACCTCACCTTTGTTCTACCTTTGTGTTTGTCTCTTCTACATCTTTGAAACACTCTTCTGTTCCCCCCCCCCTCTCGACTTTTTTTCAATTTGATGTTCCTTCCCCTCTGTGAAGCTTGAAGTCAACTAAAGGCCCAATGATAACCATCAAGACGCCTGTCATTTGATATAAATAAATAAATACGCACAAACGGCACAAGCGAAGCTAAATGTGCAATGCTTGCATGAA